CAAATGCAGTATTCGGAGGTACAGAATCGTAAAATGCGAACAGTTTGCAGGTGGATGCAGACTACAAGTATCAGTGTAATCCGGCGCTTTAAAAAAAGAATAAAAAAAAAAAGGGAACTAGTCCAGAAATTTTCCAAAAATTTTGGCGACTTCAGCAGCCTTGCACCCAGCCTTACCCCGCGGTCCAGGGTCCAATCCAATCACAGGGCCAGGCTACGGCCTAGCACATCTAGCCACACTCCCTCCCCATTTACGCCAAAAATCGCGTCCAGGTTTAACAGGGCGCGTCCTGGATCGATCCTGGTCAACTAAGTTAAACCCCCGACAGGCTCGCCGTTCACGTAATTTGAGGCTCATTGCATTATCACCGGCCGCCTCTAATTCTCTCAACATGGCCGACCTCGAGAAAATTGCCGGAAACATGCTCCGGAAGCCCTCGTAAGAGCAGTCTTGTCTTTATGCAAATTGCAATCACTGGGCACTCAGAACTAACACATCATGGACCAGGGGCAAGGAGCAGGAGGAGAAGCTGACGAGAACAGCTTCTACATACCAGCCTCTGCATACTTATCGTCTCGATAAAGAGAAGTCGTATAAGCAGCAGTATGCTGATATGTATTTCTTAAGACTTACCAAAATTAAGCCGGCCGTTGACAAGATCGCCGCTGAAGCTTGGAGCGAGACTGTCATCGGCGGCGAGGAAGCCAAGCCTGCTGACCGAGTGCTGGACATTCGACAGGGTGAGCTCTGCTGGGTGACAGGCACTGTGTACATGGATATGTCTCTCAAACCCGACATTCTGAGCGATGTTTCCAAAGACGTAGGTCGCCTTTTGACCGCTGCAATGTGTTAGACGAGTCGGTAACAAATGAATGGCCTCCCCAGCTAACACTAATTCCGGCTTAGAAATGGATTTCCGCACCTACTACAAGTAAAAAGTACTGGTCTGAGGATGGCTCCGATGCTGTAACTCTGGAAGACGAGTCTGGCCGCATACGCTTGGTTGGAGACGTGCTCAACTCGGTCATGCTGGTCACCGGCTGCATCGTAGCGGTGCTGGGCACCGAGAATGCAAATGGCGAGCTGGAGGTCATTGACTTGAGGTTCCCTAATCTACCTCCCCAGCCAGACCGGTGGACTTTAACCAGACCCCCTGCCACCAACGGCGCAAGCAAATCGAAAAAGATCGAGGATGAGGATGAGGCAATGACGGATGCTCATTCCGCAAGGGGCGGCGGTGGCAAGATTGCGATTGTCTCTGGCTTAGGATTCTCAAGTGTAGATGCCTCTCACGCGATGGAACTCAATCTACTACTAGAGTATCTCCTAGGTGAAGCTTTAGATCCCTCCGTCCAAGAGGAACTCTCCCACATCAGTCGCTTGATCATCGCCGGAAACTCGATATCGCTAGACGAACGGAAGCCTCTGGATGAGCCGACGGAGAAAAAGGCAAACAAGAAGTACGGCTATGATGCCAGCACTTACAACGCCTTGCCTTCCCAGCTCCTAGACGAGTTTCTCGCTAGTCTCCTGCCAACGATGCCAGTCACCATGCTACCTGGAGCACAAGATCCTGCAAATGCGAGTTACCCTCAGCAGCCAGTGCATGTGGCCATGTTTCCCAATGCTAGAGCATACGCTTCAGCACCAAACTCGAACGAGAGCGGTTGGCTCGATAGCGTCACAAATCCTTGGGAGGGCGAAGTTGATGGGTGGCGCGTCTTGGGAACCGGCGGCCAGAATCTTGATGATGTCTTCAAGTACATCAATAGCGAAGACCGTCTAGGCATGATGGAGATGATGTGTTTATGGCGCTGCTCTGCCCCAACTGCGCCGGATACGTTGTGTAAGTGTACTTCATAAATGGTGTCGATATTGACACAATAAATATGCAGCGGAGCTGACTGAAAAATTCAGGGAGCTATCCATTCCAGGACGATGATCCTTTTGTTATGAAAGCATGCCCACATCTCTACTTCGTCGGCAATCAGCCTGAATTTGGGACCAAGGTTGTACACGGCGCAGAGGGACAGATAGTGCGACTCATAACCGTGCCGTCATTTAATGTTACGAAAGAGATAGTACTTGTGGACACGGAGACACTGGATGTGACCAAGGTCAAGATAGCCACAGCATAGGTTGTAGCAAGGAAGGCACTTACTTACTAGAGACTGATTGGCGAAGGAGCCGTGGCACACCTGCATGCTATCACGAGTAATGATCACGAGCGAACAAACGAGTAATAATACTTGCGAAGGGTTTTGGTGGTGACTCGAAATCTAAGCGAAGGAAAAACTAGCCGCAGTTAAATCAACGCAAAGACGTCCTTCTAGACGCAACCCTTATAGACAAATCTCCGTTGACCCGTTCCATCGATAACGTCTTTCCTCACCCCACAGTACGGCATGGGCTACTAACAAGGGATATTGTTGGCGAAGAACGAAAAGGAAGGTTGGGGTGAAATGTTCGAAAGTCGTATGAGAAAGTAGTCCACCGATAAGTGCATACTCCTCCTTGGAAACACGAGCGCATTCCGCTGCGTACCTACTCATCATCATCATCGTCGTCGTCGTCGTCGTCGTTGCTGACGCCACGATACTCGTCTGCAAGGCCATCATCTGAGGAGGGATAGTTGGTGTCGTTCATATCGTCTCCAAAATAACTAGCAAATATATTTGGGACGGAATATCCCTGTGCCCTAATGGCCGATGACCGATTCGTCGAGTTGTTACTTGTCCCTGACAGCAGTGCCTCCAAGGGCTCGTCAAGTTGCGCCCGGAAGTGATACTTGAAGGGGCCACTCGTTACAGCGGTTTCTGGATCTTCCACTAGACGTCCCAGCCAGTAGTACAAACTCATCAGTCGACCACGGGAACGCACGGAGTCACCGTGCCGCGTGCGCAGCATGTCCACATCGGTCGCCCAGACGTCATAACGACCTTCTGCAGTCCCCATCTGCTTGAAATGCGAGCGACGGTCTACGATGGCCTCGTAAGTCTCCCCATCTTTATCAGTGGCCACAATGCGGATAAACTGGCAGTTGATTCGCATGAGAGCCCTCAGGACGTTGGAATCTTCCCGGAACCACTCTGCAGCAGGAACGCTGTGCGGTGGCGCGCCGGTCTCCTGGCGCATGCCCAAGGCCACTCGCGTCTGTGCTGGGAGCTGTATGGTGACGGTATGGAGCTGAGCTGGAATTCTCAGGTTCCCAGCTATACCAATGCGATCGGGCAAGAACTTCTGAAGAGCCATGGGCAGGTTCTGGCGCAAGTCGAAGAGGCGCATGCGGTTGGCCTCGACGACGACGCGGATGTTGCGCAGTAAGTGACCGTGGCGATCGATGGGCAGCCTCGCGCTATCGTAGACATGTTGAACGACCAAGTCCGTGTCCTGATGATCCTCGGAAGGGTCCCGGAGGAGGTACACGAATGAGTTCTCGCCGTAGAGTATGCGCACGCCCTGCCGGTAGAACGCCCGGCAGGTGCACATCAGCGCCGTGTCCAGGCGCGGACGCGAACGCGGGTATATGAGAGACCATCCACGCAGCACGCGGATATCGCCCTGGTGCACCAGCAGGTTGCGGAAGACCATCTCGCGGATCTCGGCAGGCAGCATCGCGAATGTGCCAAGAGCAGCGATGGGATCGCGCAATTTCGCTCCCATCAAGGGCTGACGCCCCTCCACGATGGCACTTTCCACGGTTTCGATCTCCGAGAGGTCGTGCGGCTGGTATGGTGGCTTCTCGCGACCCTCGAGATCGGCGTCATCCTCCTAGGGCATGCCGAGCTCCGAGGCCGCGCGGTATCGCTTGAAATTTCTGTCATCAATGGCATAACTGGTGCAACGCTTCTTAGTCGGCCAGGCGGCATTGATGAGTGCTGATATGCGGTGGTGTCGCGGTGGAGGCTGCTCTAGTCCGCTCACAGGCAGCGCGTGGTTATACTGGATGTCGCCCTCCTCTTCTAATCCAAGAGCCGCCGGATTAAGCCTCGCAGTCCTCGCCCTCTTCTTGAGTTTGAGGGAGGCCCGCTTCTTGACCCTGGCTATGGGTGCTTTATACCTTGGCATCTTGAACAGGTCAGGGCAGTCCAATCCAAATTTCACGGAAGTCGCAAAATGAGATTATGCTTACTGCAAATATTATGTTTAGGTTAGTAGATTTTGGTAAATCGCACGCAGCCAGTGTCAAAGGGTTGAGCTGGAACGGCAAAGGTGTAATATCAATGCGTGGCTTTTGTGGTAGAATATGTAAAGTTTTTGTGTCTATCAACGGTTGTCCCGTCCTAACACCTTCTCCTTGTAGCCTTGGTAGTAAGCCCAAGGAATGTTTGAGAGAAGGTACTGTCTTTAGTCTCGATAGATAAGAATAGAAACGTCGCCGAGCTCCCAAGCAGTTCTGGAAAATCTCCCAATGTGGATCTAGTGAAAAGGCGTGGATTTTTTTTTGAGCAAATGCAACATTAATATTGATGCAGGCACATCATGAAAGGGGTGCTGAGTGAGGGAAAGAGGCGTGTGTGTGTGAGGTTTAGCCGTGGTCAGTTACGACCCCGAGAACAAGACTCAAAGATGATTGCCACGGCCTGGTCTATACTCGAGACGGTAATAGGTGGATTGGACATGAGCTTGAATAGAACATGGGCATCTCATGGATTTCCTTATTTGCATGCCAGTATGGTGAGATAGAGAAATTACTTAGTGGCATATGAATTGAGTGGCAGAGGGTATCAACTCAAGATGCACCAGGAGAATAGAAAACACCATGAACCGGTAGCCTGTCAATGGCGCACATTGTCACTGCAAAAGGTAAGAGCAAGGGAGCTCCTAGGTAGGCAAGCACACATTCTACAAATGTTGACAGAGAAGAAGAAAACTGCAAGAGTGGATATCAGGAAGTATACGGTCTTGCAACATCAGTGTATCTGTAGAAGCAACCACCATCTTGATGGAACAAAATGGCAGAGAAGGACAAAAAAGATGTTGATACAAATTTTAAAAGACTCCAACGCAGGGGTTCGAACCCTGGCCCTTGCAGATCTTCATGCTCTATGAAAATGCAAAATCCTAAACCACTAGACGACGTTGGAAGATGCTCTCTGTTTGTTGAAGTAACAGTCCGCTTGAGAGGCATCTTGTTTGCTTGTCGAGGGCGGCAGGAGTGAGAAGGGGCCAGGGCGGTTGTAGGTACAAGGGGAAACCACAGAATTCACAGAATATATATATATATACATATATGTTTCAATAGTTGCCATATCTACAAGGCTTGTTCCAGTACTTTGACCTTAGTTTGTATATATAGAGATATACTGAGTTTAGTAGCTTTCCAACAGTAGTCTATAATAAGCAAACACCTAGGATGAATCCACTAGCAAGACATATGGACTGAGAATGCGAACTTACATTGTTGAAGCCTCAAGGCAAGGAACCAGTCAAGATGTTCATCTGAAAGTCAACCGAGTCAGTAGCGCCATTGTAGTTTCTATTCATGAAGTTATCTCATCGCCTTCACCTTCACCTGGCATATTTTCATTGTCGTCCATGTTGCCAGTGATTGTGTGTAGTTTTGAGGGAAAAGATCAGTTCAAGACAAGTCTCCACAGTGATAAACCAGTGTGCTGTAGGTCTTAAAGAACTAAGAAAAGTGTGAACGGTTTACTATACTCGTGAATTGTCTGTTTCATAGCATTAAGGAAACACCAATAACACAAGAGTCTGGTACACAGAAAAACGGGATACTCCTGGTAGAATGTGAAGTCTGCCCTTCAAAATAACTCACTAGTTAACTATCAGTGTCCATTTAATTCGAAGTGAGTTGTTGGGTGAATCGAGATCTTTCCAGTATCCCCCAAGCCTTCGTTACATACCTGTCAATTAGAGAATAGATCCAGAGGATAGAAACGACGCCACCAATAGTCCTTGGTGATTGACATCACGTATAAAGAGTATGAAAATGTTCTTTTGCGTGTCTAGCTATTCCAAATCCGTTCAGTAACGGGTACAATGGGTTCTTCGTTTATGTGGTTACGTTAGCCACAGCCAATGAGAAAGAACAAAGCAGAAACCTGCTCCGATGCCCTATGTTACATGTTACAATGCATATTTGTTGGATCAATACACTGGACTCATCGCTTTGTTCAATAATGAGCCGTAGCCGTTACGATATCTTCTTAAATAATACACCCGTAGTGAATAGACAGCACTGGGTTTCCCTGCATCTACTTAATGCCAGTGTTCAGCCCCCTGGTTCTTGTTCGTGACATGATTCACTGACCGGAAACATCAACAATCTGAAGGATTACTCACAAGAAAAAGACAGAAAGCGACTCTAGTTATTGAGGGAGTATAAGTTCCGCCTACGATAGCATGGACCAGAAGTATTTACCCCATCACCCTTTCACGGTGAACCCAAGTGATAACCCATTCTCAATGTATCATGCCGCCAATCCTCGAAACCTCAAGAGACCTGAACCAACGTCTCTTTCCACAACATTTGCCTCTTCCTCCAGAGCATCTTCAGACTCCTTCAGTGACTTGATAGACGCAGCATTAGCTCCCATCTTTGCGAGTAGGCTGGGGCCTAATTACATCTCATTTGCCTCCTTCAAGAAGCTCAGAGCCAGGCGCAGGTCCCTGGAGCGCCGCGCCGAGTGGGACAGGCTCCAGAGGCTTGCCGAGCGGCAGTTTCGCAAGAGGAGACCGTTCGGAGAGACCTGCATGGCGCTGCTGTCAAGTGCAGACCGCGCGCGCAAAAAGTTCGCAGGTAGGATCCTCCGCCCCGATCCGTACACTGGGGACGTTGATTTCAAGGAGGTAAACTGGGGCCGCCCAGAGCACGATTCCGACTCTGCAAGACAAGATCAATTCCAGGTTCCTCAATCGTGCCAGGACTGGGAAGGCGACATATCTCCACTGAAGGACGAGTTCCCACCTCGAACTCGAACCAGGAGGCATCCCATTTCCATGCTCTCCCAGAGCTCGCGGATGGTACCAATAGTGTACTGCGGGAGCCCACTGAGGGCTACGAGAACCGGTAATATCAGCTTCTCTTCATCGTCTGAGCCTACGTTCATGTTGCCAGAGACAAAAAGAAGTGGCAGAGGGCACCCACAAGGCTCATGTGGGATACGGGAAAATATGGAGGAAAGACGACTGAAGATGACTGAAAGTTACGGTAATTGGGAGGCAGTAGCCACTCCTGACATGGCCGCACAAGGTCAGACGGCATACTGGAACATGTACTCCCCTTCAGCCCACAACTCTGTTAGGGAAGCCCGCCATACTCGCAGGTCACTGAGGCGAGCCGACTCGGGCATAGGCCTTAATCGCAGCCCAGATGCCCATCGCTCCAAACCTCTACCGCTCTCACCGGGAGTGCCTTGCCCTGGGTGCAAAATGGGCCAATCAGTAGCAGACATGCACAAAATCATCCGCATCAACCACAGCTCATCCTTGAAGTTTCCCGAGGAACGGAAGCGCGGATTTTGCAATGGGTGTGCCAAGGTGCTCGAGCCAAGCTTCCAGCGCTTCACTATGGCTCTGCCCGATGTTGGGAAAGATCCACCTATCCATAGAGCTACAAACGTTCCACCGCTCGCCCTGAAGAGTTCGGCCACGCAAGTTGACAGCGAGGGTGGAATGAGAAGGACACCTCACGGGCAGTTCAGATCGGAGCGACCCTCACACGGCAGGCTGGGAACCAGGCGAAAGCAAAGCATTGAGACCTTCCCCGAATCAATATCGGAACTGATCCTCCAGGCCCGGGCATCACACAAACCCCGAGCGGAAGTACCCACTGAGCGAGCAAAAATAGTCGAGCAGCCTGGTGTGACTTCGAACAGCCAACAGCCAGACAATCTTGTCGTTCAAGAGATTGTTGTTCCAAAGAGCAGGTGGAGTTATTCGGAAGACGAAAAGTCATCGTCCCATACCCTCTCATCTGGAGGAACAGCAAAAACCCCACACTCAACTGACAAGAGGTACAGTGTGGAGCCATTCCGAGACGAAATCGATCAAGTTTTCGGCAGTGTTGGTGAGATGGGTCAAGGCGCAGTCGAGTACTTTCTCCAAAATTGCACGTACGAGCCTCCACGCCGGGAGAGGCAAGCTCCAAAAGCAGTCACACCGGTGCGTATTCTCCAGGAAGTAGAGGAAGCGAGTAGCACGAAGCAGGAATACAGGCGCAAGGAAGGAAAACAACTCGAGGAAAGGAGAGTATGGGAAGGACTTATTCGACCAGAGTCTCCAAGATACAGGACTTTTCAGGATTTCAACCAGCACGTAGATGGCTGGTTCTTTTAAGAAATGCCGGCTTGTAGATGTCGAGGTCGTAGGATAGAACCCCGAACTGCGGGTCAATATTGATCGGATTGAGTCTGTGAGACGAAGCCATGAAACGCCCAAGTGTTATGACAACGGCAATGCATTCGTGACCTCATCGACATAAAACGAACGCAACCAGACTGTAGCCAATTGATATGAGCCTTAACAGTTTGTAAAACGCCTCTAGAGTGCCAAATACATTTAAAATAAAACCACCTTTTCTTTTCCTCATGCAAAACGCCTGCTCGCTCAAGACCGTGAAATATTTCCTTCGTCGTTCGTTCGGCTCGAGGGGGGTATCAAATCAAACTTTGCTCGCCATTTCTATTCCGTCTCTACCGCGCTTCCATCTCGGCTGTAGATACAGTTAGTAAACTGGCAATGCGTGTATATATATATATCTGTGTGTGTGTAATGCGTGAAGATATTGGCAAGAACCCGCGGAACGGGAAGGCCAAGGGGCACACGTACGGAATATAGGTGATTCGGTACTCCTCCTCCAGCACCGACCGGACGTCGTCTGGCAGCTGGCCAGACACCTTGATCGCGTAGACGCCCTGCACATACTGGTCGAGGCGCTGCCACTTGGCAACCCAGGACCTGGCCGGGTTGGCTAGGGTGATGAGGCCCTCGAAGACCTGGGACGTGCAGCCCTCGATGGCTTCGGTGTCGCCCTTGAGATGGAGGAACTCTTCGCAGTTGGGGCAGCCCTCGGTTCGAAAACGCTGTGGTGCAGAAGCAAAGCGGTTTTTTGTTAGCGGATAAGAGGTCTCTTTTCCATTCAGCAATGGTCGTTACACACGTTCTGGGTCATCACGATGGAGCACACCATGCAGGCGCGCAGGTATCGCTGTCCGCCGGGCGGGACGAAGCTACCGGAGGTTCGATCCATATTGTATCTTGAATCTTGCTGCGGTCTTGGACGTTGTTCTGAGGAAAGAAAACCGAGAAAGATTTGAACAGATGGGTACAAGATTGGTGAGGCAAAGGTGGCGTTGGTGATTGATAGCTTGAAGCAGACAAACTCAAGAGTGATGGGCCAATTGGCAGGCAGCTAGGGTCGTTCGCTACAGTTTAGGCGCATATGGAAATGGGAAAGTCTTTGTCAGCGGGGCGCGCGGCGCTTAGGCTTTAAGTTAGCTCTATGGGCGGCTTCTTAGAACAGCTCTGGGAAAATTGAGGCACGGACTGCATTGAGAATTGATCTCCCGAAGAAGCTCTTTTATACACAACAACTGCACCGCAGAGGAAGATCTTGTAGATCTGTAGCGGCACGCAAGGGTTTTCCTCCCCAAAGGATTGCCAACGATGGGAGACCTGGGGGACTCCAGTGTCATCAGCAGTGGCGCTGGCATCACTAAAGCCCACAAGTCCCATGAGCTGGCCACCTTGACCATTAAGGCGCCTCAGTTCTCATATGTCAAGCTCTCCCTGGTGCGGGACTCAGTTTGTTCGGAGCCAGTCACCATAGATGCCATACAAGTCCGTTCCTATTGCACATCGGCACTGAAGCAGTTCCTTGGGGTCTCGGGCGCCGCCATCTCCTTAGACATACTGAAGATCGAAGCAGGCGACTGCTGGCTCAGAGTCCCGCGGGATAACATAGGCGCATTCTCTGCTGCCATCACAGCCTGGCAGGGAACTTACGAGAACGGAGAGCGTTCCGCGCTGCGTGTCAAGGGCTGTTCCGACTGGCTTGGCATATTGGTGGGCCGAGGAGGCGAAGAGCGACTGTGGAGCGGTTAAGAGGTTTCCTACGAGCAGCAAG